ACTTTTACACCAGTCCCAGCTGTATTGAAGTGGAAATTTGGGACAAGTCACCTCATTTCTCCTCATGCACCATCCCCTCCCTCCTCCAGAAGCCCACCTCCCCCCACCTTCTCTGACTGGAGTCCTGAAGCTCTCATCCCCAGATGGTACAACCCTGTGCAGGTGGCAGGTTCTCCCTAGGAACAGCAGTTGCTTTCCCATCGGCTCCCCGTTTCTCCAAGCTGTGAACTCACAGTCACTACCTTCTGGAGGCTGGAGCTCAGCCTCTGCCACAACAGATGCTATTTGGGAAGAGTTGATGCAACTGCTGTAAATATTGGTGGAGAGCTTGACTAGCACCATCGCATAGCTCAGCAGACATAACTGTTAAGGAATGAGATCTCTGGGAGTGGGAAGGACAACAGGAATAGGATTCTGCAAGCTGTTCTTTTCACTCTCCCAATCTCAGTCTCACGACAACTCTCAGCAGTAGGAGTCTCAATCCCCTTTGTCTCTCTACAGTCTTGCCTGGGCAAAACGCTGGGGTCACACAGAAATGTGCAAAGTTTTCCATAGCCACCTTCTTTTTGTTTTGAGATAGGGTCTCCTGTGGCTCAGACTGGCCTCAAAGTATATCCTAAGGTGACCTTGAACTTCTGATTCTTCTGCCTCCACTTGCTAGCACCACAGCTATACATCACCATACCTGGTTTATGCAGTACTGGAGATCAAACCCGGGGCTTCATGCATGCCAGGCGATCACATTACCAACTCAGCTGCATCCCCAGCCTACCATAGTCACATTTCTGTTATGAGTGTCTAGGTTGAAGACATTTCAAAAACTCAAGTACAGCCACTGTTCCATCCCCATCTTCAGTGCTCAATGGGGAATTCTGGTCAGCAATACTTTAGTCTCAAATCCTTAAAGAAGCAACAAGGGGAAAATCCAACTCTGCATTGGTCACTGTTGGTGCCTAGAGTAGTCTAGGCTCTCCCTGTGTCTCATAAAGCTCACTCCAGTCAAATAAATGTGGCTGCTGTGATTCTTTGTCCTGAGTGACATTTTAGCAGAGTACACAAAGGATGGGCTCATGCCGGAAAAAAGAGGAAAGCTGCTCATGTGGCCTGGCAGAGACAATGAGCTGGAATTGTGACCAGGGAGGAGGGAGCTTTTGAGAAAAGAGGTTTGCTATGGAAGCAATTAGGGCATTAGGAAAAGGGGAAAGAAACATCTGAGCCAAGTTACAGGAAAAATACGTTTTAAGTATTTAAAAGATTACAAAGAAGTCCATAGAGATTAAAAAATAGTTTGTTAATGTATTGCTATCATAACAAATTATTATAAACTCCATGGCTTAAGACAACACAAATTTATACTCTTACAGTTCTGGAATCTAGAAGCATAACAGTTGCTCAGGTTAAAGTCAAGGAGCCAATATTGTAAGAGCAATTTTCATGTCCATGAATTTCAGTTTCTAGTGACTACCTAGACATCTTAGCCTGCGGCCCCTTTCTCCATCTCCAAGGTTCATCACTCCACAGTGCTAATGTCTTCTCACTGCCCTGACCTTTCACTGTCTTGTCTTTCTGAAGGCCCCAATCATCTCAGGCTCTCCAGACAGCCGAGGTACATCTCCCTGCCCCAGGATTCTTAATCACAGTCTAAGACACTGGGAAGAAAGTCAAAGTATTTTTACTATCCCCCACTCAACAATATCCCATGATGTTATAGAAATATAATGTCCAATTATAAAAACAAAATTATCACTTTTCCACCATCATTCTTTAGCACATAAATATCAAATCAGTATCTCTTTTGGGTTGGATTTTGCTGCAGGGTTTGTTTTTTGAAATTGCTGTTTGAGGGTGGTGGTGGCACATGCCTTTAATCCTAGGACTCAGGAGACATAGGCAAGTGGATCTCTGTGAGTTTGAGGCCAGCCTGGTCTACAGAGCAAGTTCCAGAACCACCAAGGCTACACAGAGAAACCCTGTCTTGAAAAACCAAATACAACTGAATAACTTGAGTTGCATAATATAGATGAATTTTTGGTTAGGATTGTGACAGAATTCCAAAGAACTTCTGACAGGCCTAAAACATCCTTCTGTCATTTGTCCTACGTATTTATGAAAAGTTGAGAGTCTCAGAATTAACTATTATAAAAACTTGATAAACTCTGAAAAAAGTTTAAGATGCTTTAACTACCTCCTACGGAATGAACTATTCAATCAAGAGTTGATTCTTCTTGTAAAAATCTAGCCTTGGGGAAAATCCCGCCCCGCCGCCCCCCACACACAGCTTGTTAACACCATGGCAAGATGGAGAAAGGGATGGCTGTAAACAGTGCAAACTGAGGAAATGGGAATTACAGCCTAGAGGAATAGCACTGCAGTGACTGCTTGTCTAATTTAACTTGTCTCCTGAGCAGCTACCATGAGCCTCCCGCAACCAAGTGTTTGCAAGGTGGGGCTGACTGCAGCGTGTCATGCCCTCTCCATTCTAGAGACTGAACTCTGGGCATTACACATGCTAAGTTAATGGTGTCCTATATCCTCAGCCCTTTCTTTTCAATGTAACAATAAGTCTTTCTGCCAAGCCGCCCGAGTCCTGCTGCCACATAGGCACTTTCCGCCAGTCTGCCCAAGTTCTGCTGGCTGCTACATTAAGGCCCCAATTAATATACAGAGATTTATATTAGTTTCAAATGCTGCTTGGCCAATGACTAGGATTTCTCATCTGCTAGCTCAGTCTTAATTATCATAAATCTATATATTTTATAAGACTTATTGGACACCAGGTGCAAGCATCCTGTCTTCCCAGGCTCACATGGTGACTCTGCGCTTTCTCCTACCTTTCCCAGAATCCTTCTTGACTCCTAGTCCACCTATCTTGTTTTCCTGTTGGCCAACAGTGCTTTATTTATCAACCAATAAGACAATCATATACACAGAAGGACCTCCCCCATCATTTCATTGTTGTTATTTGGTTTTAAGTTTTGAGACTGAGACTTACTAAGTTGCCTAAGTTGACCTTAAACTCATTCTGTAGCTCAGAAAGGTCTTGAACATTTGATCCTCCTGCCTCAACCTCCTAAATAGCTGGGATTTCGGGCAGGTACCACCAGCATAGACTTTTATATTTTAAACACTTCAGCTGTCAAAAAAAAAAACCAAGTTACCTGGCAATGACCTGAGGGCCCAGGAAGGTAACACGGAAGGTGTCACTGTGTATGCCTACTGCAGCATATTGCTTGGTGCAGAGGGTGATGTGGTGATGTGAGCTGATTTTTCTCACATTCCTACCTTATACCTGCTCCTAATACCAACAAATGTGTCCTCATTGGAGCTAACTGAGGTAATGAAGACAAACCAGTATGCCTGACATCTTCATTGAAAGGGGAAATTTGAACTGAGGATCTTGCATAGAGTGGGTAGATGATGTAAAGAGAAAAGCTAAGAAGGGCAAAAGCTCTCTGTTCCCCAACAGGCCTCCAAAAAACCACACCTGATCCATTCCTTGATTTTGGATTCTCGGCCCCCTCTGCCTAGACAGTCTGTAGTCCTCCATTATTGTGGCCCTAGCTGATAGGGACCTGTTTCTTGGCCTCTCTGGCTCTCTCAGACTGAAATGAGAGTTTATTTTTGTCATTGGCAAGAGTGGAAAAGGAAACCAAGGTTCTGAAGTGCATTGTGAAGAATCCTCATATCTGGACTCCTCATCCTATCTCCCATAGAGTCTTTTCCTGTCTCCAACTAATGAGGGCATGACACACTGCAGTCAGCCCCACCCTGCAAACACTTGGTTCTTGGAGGCTCAGGGCAGCCGCTCAGGAGACGTGTTAAATTAGACATGTAATCACTGCAGTGCTCTTCCTCTAGGCTGTAATCCCCATTTCCTCAGTTTGCACTGTCAACGAGAGTTTACAGCAACACCTTTCTCCATTTTGCCATCGTGTTAACAAGCTGGGGAGGCTGAATTTTCCCCAAGGCTACTGGGATGCACAGGGTGATTTAAGATGCAGAGGGATCCCTTCATGAATAGAAAATCTGGAGGCCAGTATGCGCCTCATCCCCACAGGGCCAACCTCAGAGGCTGGGGCTGAACTGGTGCCAGAGACACATGACACAGAAGCCTGATTTGTTGCTATCCAGGACGGAGTCACGTCATTAGCCGCTGCCTGGTGTTCAGACCAGCAAGGGGCACTGTATAGCTGGAGGACAAGTTGGGCATCTCGCTCCTGGTGGGTCTCCCCCCACCCCCACCCTCCAGGAAAGGCGCGCGGGGCAGGAAGGAATCCAGGGCTGGAGACAGTGGCAAGCGATATCTGAGCACGGGCGTTTTCCCAACTGGTGGGGACCCTGGGCCTCTGGGCCAGAAGACTGGGCAGCAGGGGACCTTTTTGGAACAGATCAGGTTGTGAATAAACTGGCCTGGTTAGGGAAAGGGGCGGAGCTGAGGGTTGTTGTGGGGAGACGGGCCACACCTCTGGCAGGTGGATATTTGCCTCCTTTGCCTGCCCTGAAAGGTGCTAGTGAATTCCCAAGCCACTCACTTCTCCACTACATCAGCGGATCGGAAGTGAGTGGGAAGTCTCAGGCAAGGTAAGCCCTATCTCCTGCCCTGCTGTTAGCCACAACCACCTGGCAAGGACAGCACAATTCTCTCAGGCGGCCTGTTATAACTAATGGCCTCACTCCTCCCCAAACACTGCATCTTTGGCTGTAGCCAGGATGGAGGCAGGTGGGTAAGAAGAGACTAGCACTCTGGGGTAGGTGTCAGGTCTTTGTCCAGGGGGCCCGTTGGACCTACAGCTAACCTCTCTGTCCTCTGACCCTCACAGGCAGCCCTCTATGTTAATACCTTCCCTCTGCTAGTCCTTTGATCAGCTGTGCTCGGTGCTGCCTAGCCCAGGATGGGTGAGATGTGAGGTCTGTACTCACACTGTGTCTGCTAGGACCACTCCCTGCTGCTGGCCTTTGGTGTCATCAGGGCCACTGTGATTCTCTTTGCCCTGAAGAAAATGAGCTTAAAGGAGAAAGATTGCATCACCTTACAGGACCCTGAAGCCAAGTACCCACTGCCCTTGATTGAGAAGGAGGTAGTGGATCACCTAAACCTTCCCCTGGTTAGGTGAAAGAGGAGGACAGGGGGGTGAGAATGCTTGCTGGTAAGGTGGGGTGAGCAGTGTGACCTCAGGGCCAAATGGAGTGCCTTTCTAAGTATCTGGCCCACACTCAAAACTCCTAGAGAGCCAACAGAACCTGTTTGTTTTTGTTTTTGTTTTTTTAACCAGCAAATCAACCACAACACCCGAAGGTTCCGCTTTGGACTGCCCTCACAGGACCATGTCTTAGGGCTCCCTGTTGGTGAGCAGTTTTTGGTGACATTTCCAGATCTGGGTCTTTGGGATGTTCAGTTCCTATTAGCAATGGATTCCCATTCTCACAGGATATGGAGGATACACTGATATAATCCTGGACCACATGAATGGAGGGAGATAGGCAGACAGACTTGAGGACAGTGTCTTCATTGTTCCACTTGGGCTGTCATAAAAGCAGTATCTTGAGGAACACAGAAGAGTCAGAAGGTCTAAGATCCCATTAAAGTCTCCTACCCATGAAATTTTAGGCCAGCACCTCAATCAACCTCGCTGACCTTCCATTTTAGAAAATAGTATTTCCCAGGCCTGCCAGTCTACTTCATGTATAGTGAGGGTAAAATGATTCATGAATGTGAAAGTTTAGAAACTGCATAGAATTATGCATGGATGAAAAGAGCAGATATCCCCTTAGAGTCAAAGCCCAAAATATGTGGGAAGTCACTAATAATGCAGATGCCCTAAATGGATGCATTATCTGAGGGAGCCTGAGACTCATGTAAGGAAACCAGCCCTATCTGTCCTCAGATTCTGAGTTGTCCCACCTCCAGTTTCATCAATAATAGCTTTAGACAATGAGTCCACTCTCCTCAGGTGGAAAATCTAAGAGACAGGTGTGGGGTAGAGAAGCCTTGCTGCCTGTCTCCTAGTGGACAGTCTGATTGATGGCCTATTTTCAAAGAAAGCCATGACTTCAATTCTGACCAGTGGTGACATTATAATACAAGGAAGCCTGCTGGGCCCTTGAGACTGCTTGCTGTCCTTCACTCCTCTGTCAGTGAGAGTGCTGTCGCTGGGCCTTCCATTCATCTACTTTAGCCTGTCACCATCCTGTTTGGGAGGCAAGTATAAGTCACTTGAGAAACACAATTTGTAGACTTCTCTGACCTACCCTCCCTTCAGCCCCAGTGGAAACAGTATGGTCAATGCGACAAGGTGGTGTAGTGGCCTCTAAGAGTCTGACAAGAAAACTGCCTCACAGTTCAACTGAAGCGAAGATAGTTAGAGGTGGGGCCCTGGGTTGGGGACACAGCTGCATTCTGTGTGGGCATGCAGTGAATGACTTTCTAGGTCCTCAGTGTCAGGTTAGCTCTTGGAAGGAAGCTGATGCTTCAGACCTGTGTTCTCAAATGTCCCTGGTGTCCAATCAGGTGATGGCTATTAAGTTTGCACCTCATCTTCTAGGGACTCCTCAAAGACCGAGATGTATACTGCTTAACACCTTGAAGTAGGCTCTCTGTCCCGAAGCACCCCCACTCCCCTCCTTCCTTTCTGCCTCCTCTTCATCTGTCTCTCAGTTTCCATTTCTACCTCTGTTTGTAATTTCCCAGGTGTGCTTGATTTCTACTCCATCTGAATGTAGCCTGGAGCTTTCTTTGTCTTTAGCTTTTAGCATCCCTTGATGCAGCTCCTCCCCTCCATACTAATTGCTTTGGTCTCTGAAACCTGGACTTCTGGTTCATTATCTGACATTGGGCTACAATCTCAACTCATAGGTTTATGGCCTTCTAGGCCTATACAATTCTACTCTGGACAGGCAAAGACATAATGTAAATGTCCCTGCTGCTTCTCAGCAAAGCCAATGATCAGGATGGCACACATTGCTGCTTTATTTGAAACAGAACTGTCTAGGTCTTAGAACTCTGAAGTACCATAAAGCTAAGCCCTGTTCCCTGCTGAGATGCAGATGGGATACTGGTGGCTCCCTCTCAGACTTCGGGTTAGGAAGAAAAACATTTCATGAAGACTATAGTTTTCTTTAAATGGAAAAAAATCTTCTCTGATCTGTGAGACAAGGTCTTGCACTTAACCTAGACTGGACTGCAACTTATAGTTCAGGTTATATTTTGAACTCAAGTCAATGCTGTCTCTGATGCCCAAGAGCTAGAATTATAGGTATGAACCACCACACCTGGCTCCTTTCTGTTATTTTTCAGTATCCATTCTCACCTTTAATTAAGTCTTACTCCAAGAGTTATAGTGTAGTCATAGCTGGGCAGATGAAATCAAAGTGAATCTTTGGAGGATTTCTGAGTTCTATTTGACTATTAACATTTGATATATGTATTTTTTGTAGGTAACTATGTCCATTTCTTGGCCCAAATTAAGGATGAATTAGTGATCAGGGCTTATACTCCTGTCTCTAGTGACGATGATAAAGGCTTTGTGGACTTCATTATAAAGGTAATGAATGACCACTTTACCCTGCTATCTGGAGCCCCCAGGTATCCTTAAGTGTGGTAGAATGGTACTTTTTCTCTGAGGGGACTTATGGCCTGGACAGTGCTTTCCAATAGTCTCATTGATCAGCAATGCTACACTTAACCCTGTAGTGTCTCAACGGATTGCTGTGCTCAGTTTAATTGTCGACTTGACACAATCTAGAAATCACCTGAGAATAGTCTCAATGAGGGACTGTCTATACCAGGTCTGTCTGTGAAATGTAGAAAGACACAGCCCACTGTAGGTGACACCATTCCCTAGGCAGAGGACCCTGAACTGTGTAACTATAGAGAATAAACCAAGCACTACTAGGCATGCATACATTCATTTCTGTTGGCATTTCTGATGTGGTGAGCTGCTTCAAGTCCTTGCCTTGACTTCCTTGCAACAATGGACTTTAACCTAGAGCTGTAAGCTAAAATAAACCCTTTCTCCCCTAAGTTGTCTTGTTAGGGTATTTAACTGTGGGAACAGAAACAAAACTAAAACAATCGTTCACAGTGAGTGTGGCAGTGTTTACTTGCATGACTTCTGATGGCAAATGTACTTTCCAACTGTGTGCAACTGTAGCCAAAGGCTTGGAAGTGTAAAGACCTGTGCTTACTTTTCAGATATACTTCAAAGATGTGCACCCAACGTATCCTGAAGGGGGAAAGATGACTCAGTACTTAGAGAACATGAAAATTGGAGACACCATTCTTTTTCGGGGGCCAACAGGGCGCCTGTTCTATCATAATCCAGGTACCAGGTGCTGTTCAGTGGGGTCTCACAGTTGGGCAATTTCTCTCATAGTTTGGAGAGTCCTGCAGTAGTCTTACTGTGGCCTTACTCAGCTTTGGGGCACATGGGCTTGTACTTCAAGTCTTCACACATTCATTCATGTGAATGCATATATGATGACTTCTGTCACTGCTCATATTTCACAAGCTTGGATGCTTCATCTAGAAAGGTGTCTGGCACAGAAACACGAACGGTGCCTGATGACAGTGGAAGAAGTCCACATTGATTGACTCATCCAGATTCTCCATTTACTCACTCATTCACCACTGTCATGGAGGAGGCTCTGCAAGGCTCCAAGTTCATTTCAGCTTGCTTAAGAAAAGGCCCAGCTATCCCATGGGATGCCTAGCCTTGGTTTCTACTCTGTACACTAGGGGCCAGTGAAGCTACTGTGTCTCATTCTCTGGCTTGTAATGCTACAACCTTAGCTTGACCTGCCTCCTAAGAGTCAGAAATCTTTTGTAAGTAGCCAGACAAGGGCTGCAGAAGTCAGAAACATTCTCTGTTTCTAGGTTCCCTTATAGTCAAAACAGACAAAACGAGTGAGCCCGAAAAAAAGCTGGTTCATCACCTGGGGATGGTTGCTGGGGGCACAGGTAAGCTTTCCAGGTTCTTCTAAGACCATTCTACCTTGGGAGTGATTTGACTCGATGAGAGGTGGTGCAAGCGATTCCTTCCCAGCTGTGATAATTGAACTACGGTGTCAGATACTGAATCTGACCCTGTTCCTCTGCAACCATCATAGTGACTCCCTAGAAGCCATGTGAGCCTCTCTTATGAGGCCAGGCCAGACAGGTTTTGGTCGATGGTTTTACATAGTGGGAGATCCAGTTCCAGCTTGACTCTAAATATCTTGAGAATGAACCCTCAGGGAGACACACAGGGTGTTAGAACAGTCATGGGGAGTGTTCACATTACCTGGTTGTCAATTCTGTTATGGAAGTGAGGACATGAACTCACAGAATGCTCCTTCCATAGGAAAGTATAAAGGGCTGAGCATATGGCTCAGTTGGTAGAATATTTGCCTAACACACACACACACACAAAGCCCTGGGTTCCCCAACATCACATAAAAACAGACATGGTAGCACACGTCTGTAATCCCAGGCTACATAGTAATACTTGGCTACATAGTGAGTTGAGGCCAGCCTGAGATGTGTGAAACCCTGTCTCAAAAAGGAAGGGGTTTCTTTGACCTGCTGCTCTAGAAAAGAACACCAAAATGAAGGTTCTTCCCTACTTTGGTGTTTGGGGGACAGAAGGGAATATGGTAGAATCAGGGTCAAATGAAATTGCTAGTCTACTAATGGCCAGGAACTGAGGCGTTGGAGATGGGAGCAAGATGGCCTGCTCACTGTTTTCCAGGCATTACACCCATGCTGCAGCTCATTCGCCATATCACCAAGAACAGCAATGATGGGACCAGGATGTCCCTCCTCTTTGCCAACCAGGTCAGTTCTGCAGAGTCAGCCCAGAGCTTGCCACAGTAGCATGGAATGTTCCCCGATTTGGGGCTCTGTATGAATTCGTTTGATTGTCTGGGGACATGCTGCTTGGGTGCCTTGGGCTGTGGGAGGCTGGCAGCTAAAGAAGCTGAGGTCAGGCCTGTTGTGTTTGTTTCTGCTTAACTCTTGCATCTTCCCTACAAACCCACTCCACACACTGAGCATTCTCCTTAATTTCCTGTTCTGTTTATCTGAGTATTAAATAATGGATGTTCTTGATGGAAATTCTGAAAAATTCAGAATACTTTTTCATTTGTCTTTTCCCCCATATGTGCTGTGTATTTATATATGCTATACACACACACACACACACACACACACACACACACACACACACACATATATTTGTTTATATGTTATATATACCTTTTCAGTTAGCAGTATCGCATAGGCATCTTCTCACTAACTTTCAATTTAATTCACACCAGAACCAAAGTAATGCTTTCCTAAAATTTCATTCAGGTTCTTTCCAGATTTTGTCATAAACAATAGGCAATTATGAATAACTGGGTCTGACCTGACAACTTTTCTTTTCTAAAAGAATGTCAGAAGAAGCATTACTGGGACCAGAGCCACAGAGGATTTGATGACCCAGGCCTGGGCATTGTCTTGGAGCCTTGTCCCCCCCTTTCTCAAATGTAAATGTAGACCACATTCCTCTTCTATACACCACCAGCACCACCCTCCTCTGGGTCCTTAGAGAAGGCCAGACTGCACTAAGCCTGTGTCTGTTGGGCCTTCTAGGCCTGATCTCTGGATGCAAGGAAACGAGTGGGGACTTTAGCGTGTACACAGTGGTCTATGCAGTCAGTCCTTCCAGCCAGAGGGCAGCCATGCTGGTGGTACCTCTACATCACCCTTCAGCCACACCGGCACTTTGTATTGACAGAGAAAGGGTATAGTGTGCAGGAGGAACAGGGCATTGTCTGCCCTGGCATCTGGTAGGCTCTCAAGTGTTCAATCTAGGTTGGCATACTAGCTGTTCCTGGAGGGACCTTTGTAATGTTGCTTCTAGACAGAAGAGGACATCTTGCTGAGAAAGGAACTGGAAGAAGTCACCACAACTCACCGCCACCAGTTCAACCTGTGGTATACCCTGGACTGGCCTCCTGATGGTATGACCCATGTTACTCTTTCTTTTTCTGAGCCAGCTCTGCCCTTTGACGCATCTGCAACCAGTCCATAGCTTTTGTTTGTTTGCTTTGTCTTTAAATTTACTCCAAGAGATTAAGCCTTGAGGCTCTTGGTCTGTACAGGGCATGCAAGAATCTGATGGGAGATTAGGAACAGCAGTTTGTAAAGGGGAGTCAAGCACAGCTGCTAAATACCTCCACTCTCCCCATCAGAGTCTATACTTGAACACCTGCCCTCCACAATCAACACATTGCACCTAATATGGTCACTGGCCCCTTACCCTCTTGTACTGCTCATGGCTAGTCTGCCTCTCACCACCAACCTCTTCTGGATAACAGTCAGTCTTCATATGCTGAGCCTCAGCCAGCTCCTGCAGCCTCAGCTAGCAACCAGGAACTACCCTGTACATACAGGGCACATCACCTGCTTCCCTATCTATACCTGTGTTGGCATAGACCAACCTGCCCAGGGAGGGTGCTGCCCAACTCCCCAAACAACCCCAACATACCAATGTGACCTCCTCACCCATCCCTAACCTCACTCTACTCAGTGCTTAAAACAAAGAGACATCATCCTAAGATTGAGTTCAAGGCTTGAGTCTGGAACCTGGAGTAAATGCTGCAGATGCCTGGAACCCCCTATGTCGGTTTCTTGGATCTACTGTGGGAACCAGCAATGCAGAGTTCTCGGCTGTTGTAGGGCAGCCTGGTCTCCAGCATCACGGACAAACACAGAACCACCTTTCTTCCCTGCTCTGCTTCATTTCAGGCTGGAAGTACAGCTCAGGATTTGTTACTGCTGACATGATCAAGGAGCACCTCCCTGCCCCTGGGGAGGACACACTCATCCTGTTGTGTGGTCCACCACCTATGATCCAGGAGGCAGTTCGCCCCAGCCTGGAGCAGCTTGGCTATACCAAAGACATGATTTTTACCTATTAACACCTTGGTGGCTTACTCTCTGTTTCAGAGTGAGTTTGACTTCACTCTATTTAACAGCTATTTGCAAAGTACCTTTCCATGTACCCTTTCCTTTCCATGTACCCTTGGGCCTGGTGCTGTTCTCCTGGGTGTGGACCTGAGAAGAGTTCAAAGGCCGAGGGGTATTTGAGTTTCCAGGCTTGGAGGCTGGAAATGAGGCGTCTTTCTCCATGGCTTAGTGTAATAAACTAGACTGCTCCGCATTTAGTTCAGTATGTGGATATGTTGGGAATACAATGGGCAGCCAGAACTTGCCTGGGTAGAATGCCAGCAGGATCCAAATGGGGTCCATCAACTCCCACTAAGCATTCATGAACATTCTTTATATTTCTCCACTTTGAAGGCCAGACTCACAGAGGGCAAAGGCCTGGGTGTTCTTCCTTCCCATGTGGGACACTTTGAGACATAAATAGGTTTAAAACCTATGTGTCAGGGCAGTAAATTCACAGTAGGTAGACTCTAGGAATCCCTTCCTTACTTGTTACATTTTGTACAACAGATGGAGACATATGGAAATATTTTAGCATCCTCTAGGTAACAGGCTCCACGTTGGCACTGGGCCATGGTAGGCATGGTTAGACAGAAGTTTCTCAACTGATCATTTCCAGCAGCTATGCCTCAAATCCCATCATTCAACCTTTATGATACAGGGACTGGTATCGCCACCTTCTATTCAGGGCAAGAGCAACACACTGCTGCTCTGCTACCTCTGTGGGTAAGCCTACTGCAACTTCTTTTCGTATATCCTTAACAGGCCATAGTCTGTGGAGCTTTTGTTCTTTAAGTCACACAGGAGGAAACAGACATGGTAGTTACAAGTTCCCAAGTCATTCAGATAGAGGGTATCAGAGTTGTCTTTAAACCTGGGTCTGTTTAATTCTAAATCTGTTATCCTTTCTCAAAAACTAGCACAGTAGCAGCCATATTAGAAGTCACTGCTGGGTTTGTTACTCAGTATGCACATGTGAGGGGGGTGCACAAAAGAGAAAGAAGAGAGGAATGTGGCTCTGGGGGCTCTGCTGTACCCTTAAACATCACCCACAGGGGGCCAAACACTGTCTCAGAATAGGCCTGGGAGGGACACTCCTACATCGAACCATGCACTAGTGCTTAGTGTCTCCTTGGAGAAAGGTCAACTCAGGGAAAACACTCCTGCCCACTTCCACTAAATTGCCCAGCTTGGCATTTAATTCACTCTATAGCCCACATCATCTGTGAACCCACAATCCTCCTGCCTCAACCTCCCAACTATTAGTAGCTAGGACTGCAGGCATGTGCCTCCAGGCCCAGCTGCAAAGCCTTTCCCATTGGACTCATATCAACCTCATTGGATTTTTCCTTCCTGGGGCCTTCCTTCTGCTTTGACCTTATTTTCCAGCCTAATGGTTCTTAACTGGGAGAGGGGTGACTTCATACTCCAGGGGACATTTGACACAGTCTGAAGACACTTTGGCTTTTCCAGTTGTGTGTGTCAGGGGGAGTTCTAATGACATTCTCAGCAAAGACCAAGGAGACTACGAAAGTAGTACAACACCAACTGGAGCTCAATTAGCCCACACAGACTACAGTGGTTCAGCGGGTGCATGCATGGTAGGATGGCACAAAACCCCAAAGTGGACCGTGAACATCTCAGAGGCAAAGGCAGACAGTGCCAAAAGGGCAGAGTTGACTTAGAACCAGAATAAACAATCAATGGGGTGAAGCAAGGCCTATCAATGGAGTCACAAAGGCTGGTGAGATGACGGTAAAGGGCTGGAATGGCCATCTGTGGGCATTCTGTAATTTTAAGGAATTCTAAGCAGAGTGATGACAAGGTGACAGGTATGGGAATGTCTGGCAGGGAACAAATAGGTAGAAAATTATGGGCAGCAATCTGATAACAACAAAGCAGGAACTAGAACAGCCATGGCCAGGAAGGGAATAAGGACTTGGTGGGTGTCTCCCTTGGAGGTATCAAAGTAACAGAACTGGCTTGTTTCAGATAGGACAGAAAAAAAAAAAAAAAAACGAATTTGAAGACTGTCCACTAGG